CTTATTCTCTGAGGAAGGAAGTCTCTAAACGAGAGGACAAAAAGAGGCGTTGTGTCTAAAGTGTGTGAGTAATTTGTAGTTAGATTAAAGTACGCTACAGGAATAGGTCTGCCTAGTTTAGAGGTACCTAAAGTTTACTAAGATCAGTCCACTAAACAAGTTAGTGATGAATGTAAATAGCGTTTAAGTGACCGACAGATAACGTGAGGGAACAGCAAACGGTTCATTATCGATTTCATTTGTCCTGCGAAGAGATAAGGAGGAGTTTCGGTCCATCTTGGAGTTTAAAATCAATCATCAGTCAGAGAAAATGCCTAGTGGAATGTTCCATCAAGTAGCGTTTTCCGAGGGTTTTCGAGGGTTTTCTTCCCAAAATACACTTAAATGAGCGGCTTCACAAAGCAGTGCCTATCAGTAAAATCCGCTTAAACAAGTAATCAGTCTCTAAATAATATCAGCGCTATCTGTTGTATGGATCGCTGGGCTTATTATTGTTTGACAGGTATACAGAAGTGGTTTGTTTAACGTGAACATTCAACTTATCAAACAATTTCAAAAACTAACTCCTCGTCTTCAAAGTAAAGTCTGTTTCACAATAACGCAGCTGAAGTGATAAGTCAGTTCGTTTCACTAGTTCAGAGCAAAACACAGTGGCAAACGAAACCACTTGTGTAGGAATCGTTCATCATGCTGTAAGGTGATTTTGTGGTCTTACCCGCTGTAAAAACCAGGGTAAAATAAACACAGGCTTGCCGCTGATGATGCTCACTAACATCTTTCAATGTATTCTATTAATTTCCTTCCCGGTTTACTTATAACTCATGCTTGTCAAAACTTTAAACATATGCACGTAATCTGGTCTCTGAAAAAATGGTCAATCGTTCATAGTTGCTTAAGTCTGTTTCTTTCTGTCCAGTGGTCGAACAAATATCTCCTGTCCTTTTTATAGCTAATATCCTAGCCTTCACAAAAGCCGGTTGGCAAGCTGCCCTTGGACCAATCCTCTATATTTCGCCGTTGAGCCTCGTTTCATTTTCGTAAGTAAGATTCGAATACCGTGTACAACAAGTAAGCCTGCGGCACCTTCGCTTATCAAACACTGTGAACTGTGAACATCAATGAGTTCTTGCATAATTTGACAGGTTCTTGTCAGTATCTGTGTGTTTAGAAACCATGGATCCGAACAATTGAAAAACCTCCTTTTTTACAATTATCATCGAGATATCTAAACACAAGCGTGTGTAACACATCATTAGTACTCCATCCTTAAACGATAACTTGATCATGGCAGTTACTGCCAGCATTAAATGAGACTTGAACATGAAGAAAATTCATTAATGGTCTTGGAGTAGGACCAACGAATCTAAAATGAAGACGCAATTTTTGATGAAGATATTCTTAATGTCAGCTCGCATCGATTTTCTGTTACCGTTCCTTCATCTGTACTCATTTGCTTCACTCCAACAATCGCAATACTTCCAGTGGTGAGTGTATTAATGCTGCAGAATGTTACGTGTTATGCTTATTCTGCAGAAACACTTTGAAATGCACAGAAACGTTATCCTTTACTTCCTTGTTTCCTCCCCCTGACCTTGTGGCACCTGCAGTCTGGCACAGAAAGCTAACATTAAAATCTACTGTTAACAGAATTATACGTCCGTCCCATTATCTCTCATCAGTTCTGGCTTAAGATGCAGTGAGAACCATTGTGCTACCCTAAAACTAGCCAGACGTAAAGCCAGGCTGTTTACATCCTTACTGACAATTTGCGTAACTCTCAATATCCGGGCATTCTGAAATATGCATCTTGATTCAGATCGTGTCCTTATTTGGTTTGAATTTTCACTGCTTTCCAAAAACATTCAAGAAGATGAAACCCTTTTAACAATTCAGAATTTTTCAAACTGCAGGTTGAACAAACGAAAAAGTTCACTATGCGCCGTGTCAAACTTGCCATCCTTTGAAGAAAAAAAGCGTTGCCATATACCGAAAATGTTATCTGAAAGCACTATTTGTGGAGCGAATGAGCTTAAAAGCCCACTTCCGACCTAAAACAGTCATTTTGAATTGCTTACACTCCTAGATTATCATTCAGACAATCTGCATACATAATGCACGGGTTACAAAAATACAATTGTCATCAGTTACCAAATATGTATTGCAGCATCTCTAACTACTCACAGAGAGAAACACGCAGACCCCAAGCCACAGCTTTTTACTGGGAAAACCGAAGTTAATGTTAAGAATGCAATGTACAACAAACGCTGGCGTCTAGAATACCGGATGGAATATTTTCAACACCACCTTATTTGACCATCTGCCGCTGTACTTAATCCATTAGATCCACTCACTGGATCCCTTGACTTGCGTATATAGCATCATTCGTAACATTTAGAGGGCTCATAGATGTTTCTGGTTTCAAATATCATCCAGCTGAACAGAGCAGGCGCCTTTTGAGCAGCACCGGACTCCGGTTTTAAAGTATTTCGACCGTAGTGGATAACGCGCCGCAGCAGGTAAACACGTTGGACCTCGGCACTCAACCACGTAACCTTTGTTTCATGGTTTGACAAGACTTTTAGCCCTTTAGAAGCAGGAACACGGTTCAGGCAGAAAAATCCAATCACACATCATGTTCCCGTTCAAAAAAGCTTCACAAAATCTACTTATCTTAGGCTTATCAATATACAACTACTGGCCTTATTAGGGCAGCAACGCCTGATCTTTACAAGTAACACAAATTTGAGAAAGTCTGGCGGAGTTCTGGCTGGCTAATGAGCGCAGTATTTACGGTTCCTCACTGTCTTAAACGCTCAGTTGCGGCGCAAGTTTCCAGGCATATGCTTGGCTGAATAGCAATACCCTTGGATGTTGCAATTATACACCGCTTTTTTTCCATTTCCACACTTACGGTCGTATAAGTACCTGTACCACACTCTCCAACCATTTTTCCACAAACAACAGGCTTCATAAATAACGCATTTTTATTCTTTTTGTCTGTCATCACCTCGCCAATGAATGCGTTCTGCCAGAAATTGCTACTGTTAGTATCAGAATCACCACTTAAAACTCTGGCGCACGTAAACTATACGGAAGACATTTATGTGGTACCCACTCGTATTCAGTACTTATTATCTACACTAAGTGGTATTTAGGGAGCGGTGGGCTGGTTCCTTTGCATTTTGCACATTTAGAGCTACAAGTGTTCCTACATAGTTTTCAGTCTTATGACGTTTTACTGAACCTTAATTTTTTTCGTTAAATCTATTGTGCTGCATAAAAGTTGAATGCTTAACCATCCTTTCACGCAATTAATGCACCTCATATGTTGTGGACTTGTCATTTGGGACCAAACGGTGCGACAAACAACTACGTTGCGTATAAATCTTTTGTGAATATAATTTAAAACAATCTGTTCAGATGACGTTGTGAAATTCAGAAAAGGAGGATTATGAGAAAGCCACGTACTGCTGTTCAAGGGTTGACATACTATGATCGGAAAGTTTGTAGTGCACATCAACGTCTTTATAAACACTAAAAGTTTAAAAAAGGTTACTGGAGTTTTGTAATTCGTAAACACCGTAATGAAGAACGGTTTCCCGCTTTCAATGCAAATTAACTGCCTATTATTTAGTCATACGTTATAACATAATGGCGATTTTTGGAACCTAAAAGCTGAAAAAGCATTTCTCAAATTCACTTATTCATTTTACATTTGCTTAGAATGCTGGAGTCAGACACCCGTGAAGAAAATATTTCAATTTGTCTACTTAAGGTCCTTCTTCAGGCTTTTTCAAACCAATTTAATTTCAGTGTAGCACTCCAAAGCTATTTTCTCACCACACTTACCACCTGCCAGACGTGAGTGACTTAAGAGTTTTGGCTTGTTTTCTCAAATACCATGAAGGAGATGGGAAGGAAGCTGCCCTTAAAAATCTTTTTCCTTTTTGGGACTCAGAATACAAGACTTTCTTTATCTTATATCTGGGACTGGCCTTTCTGAAAGTCAAAACCACAATCACGTCTTTTTTATACCCGCCTTTCTTTCGTCCCAACAAATTCGTCACCAGAACGTAGCTTATTGTTCTTTGTTGTTTATATGCCAATGGTATATCATGTTTTCTGGAGACTGAAATGCTGACAGTCTTCAGCAGAAGCCATCAAAAACACTTCTTCTAGTAGTACTGCCTTGATACTACTGCGTTTCCAAAAACAGGATCAACGCTGAATGAACACCTTGTTCCCTAAACAGCGGGGACACCGCAGACTAATCTTATCTTTTTGTTTTATTAAACATGAACCAAGGAATAAAATCAAATGGTTTTGAATGCAACAAGTAACGTTAGGTTGCCGTAGTGGCTTAGGCAACCTTCTATGACTCTTTCGTTCCTATTCTAGGGTGTGAATGACTATGACAAGATCCTAACGAATGTGGCTTTTACCTTGGCCAACCACTACTCAGGATGCCAAGCAAATATTACAGTCGCCAAAACCAGGCAGCAGGGAAATGCTGTGAAAATCCCTCCCGAAAAAGCAACGTTGACCAGGTCATCCATCCACCACTTGGAAGACTACTGAGATGTTCGGCTTGGCATGCTTAGCTGCATTCATGTACACTACCTACCCTTGCACTGCATAATGAAGCGTATAAGTAAGCGTGTATGAGGGGAGTAAACCGGGTCGCATATGAAATCCCAAGCTTAGGTAAACTTGATGGCTGTAAATGGTCGAACTGATGTTGATCCGTGAATACTTAACTGACTGCTAATAGCCCGTCAGTTAATGTATAGCAACGGCTGGATTCAAGAAATATGCGTGCTCACCCAGGTTTACCAATCAGCCACCAGTGACCAAGGTGATAACCCAGAGGTGAGTTGCCACATAGCCCTCGGACTTCTGCTCTCAGCCAGCCGTGTCTAAGTTTGTAAATCAGCCACAGAAGATGTAGATGACAAACGACATAAGTAATTAACTGAGTCTGAAAAACAAAAACCACTCACCGATGGCCGATACTGCCCAACGTTAGGTGGGTTTTGCCCCAAGTACCTTGCATAATTTATGTGAACTTGCTGTAACTCATCAAGCGTCATGCCCCATTTTTGATGTCCAACAGGAATACGTGGATCAAACCTGTGGAAAGTAATTAACTGAACAATGGCCTACCAAGTTGTCTCTTGTGTTTCATGATTGAGGAAGTATACTTGATTCTTTTCATTCTGTGTCATCTCGAACCACGCAGGAAGCTCACGGACAGCAAACTTGAGTCGGGGACGGCATGAGAAAGGTGTTTGAGCCCCACTGGAAACATTTGAGACTCTCGCAAGAATACTTTAATTACCTGTCACTTTGAATAAATCCTTGTTTTCTAAAATCACAGAATGATACTTCAGGACAATAACCATGAGTGTAGTCTGCTGCAATATCCAAACTTTTCTGGTGAACGTGACTTGGAACGTCAGAGTTCACAGTAGCGCAAACGGGCGCGTCCAGAGAAGCGGGAGAAGAGTTAGCTTTGCTGTGCGAAATTACAATGTCGGTAGAACCAACACCTGAGAGGTGAGAGGGATCGTTTAATCCGGTCGGTGGAACGAAAAATGATTTCGGTAGGTTTCGCTGGTTCCAAGGCACTTGTTGCCTCTGGGAGATTGGGTTGAATAATTCTTGAAGACTGTTATTTGGATCTTCCAATACAGTGACACGAACGTTTGGTGTCTTTTCTGAACTGTAACCTGCCATCCCGAAACCACCAAAAGTGGGAGGCCCGACCCACCTCGATAAGTGATATAAAAAATTGAACTACGCGCTACAAAGCATGAACTTTCGGCTCCAGTGTATTATTAGGTTCCACACTTGGGTATATATTCGACAAAAAAGGTATCTTGCGCTCCAATATCGAAGCTGGGGTTTAGTTGCTTATTTACAAGGTGAATAACTAAAAGTAGGCAAAACAGTTATTCAGGTGGTTTTGGGTGGCGGATGCAGCGGAAATTTTTATTTGGGGACGACCAACGTCTAAGAGTCCACCAGAGTGGACAGCATATGGAAACAAGCGACTTATTCAGATAAATAGACTGCTCTCTGCTCAGTTACATACCCACTTTTTCTTCATAAAAGCACTCGTCCATAACAGAGCACCACCAGATGCGTTAGGTGACAGGATGACCAGCAAGCAGTGACAGTAGAGAACGAAGTTATAGAAGTGTAGCAAATGGACAGTTGCGAATGAGCATCTTGGGCAAGAGGTCCTTCTGCAGCACCAATATGAAGAGTTACAATGATCGCCGTAGTTGCGGTTTGTTTGACGGTTTGTTTATTGCAGCGACTAAAACCCTTTCTCACCGATTCGCAGCTGAACGCTCTTAGTGGCTTATTCTGTAGTCAGTGAATTCGGTATTTTACTACGAGAATGAGCTAGTCTCAAGAAGAATATTTGGCGCACGTGAGATTCTGTTCTTTCCCCTACTGTCACCTTCCACGTTACTAAGTAGATGGGCTTAAGTAGGCGAGAACTGCCTTCTGGATCATCACCCTATCTACGAAGGACAATTTAGAGAGGAACGAATCAATGTCTCCTAGAACCTCCGAAGGGGGAATATTTTCAGCTACGTGAGACACTAGGTGAAGAGGTTTGCCTAACAGAATCATGTACCGCCAAAGCATGGTGATCAAAGTAGACGAGGTAGTCTCCCTGCGTAATCAGGCAAAGGCTCTTTGTCGCAACAAGGTCCTTGGATGTTCTAGGTTTGTGACAATCCATGGTGACCCAGATACCTGGATTCCGCTACGTGTACGTGCTGTGCGGCTGGTGTCTACTTTTTCTTTATTTGGCCTAATAATTTACATCTCTTTACATTTTGGTGTTCACTGTGGACATCGTAATGTTCTTTTGGGCTCGTGGCTTGCAACCTGCTTGCCACAGTTTCACACTATTCGCAGATTTTCTTTTCAAAGCTGACGCCCTTATTTACATCACCAGTAACGAGGAGGTTTATTTACAACTAATAGGTGAGGCACCTTTAGGTACGATCATTACGGCGCATCCAAAACGAAGGCACTGCTAACGTAGTGGCAAAAGTTGGGCAAAGTGGAGCATCGATTTAAACATATTCATTCCTGTCAGATAGACACAGTCTAGACGCAGTGAAAACCCGGGATTGTATAGCACAAACGGTGAGGTGCCAGGAATTGATTGGACGTCGAAATGCGAGAGAAGTCTCAGTTAGGCGTTTTCCGGTACTGTCCGTATTCATTTCGCATTTTCGTGAACAAATCGTGTCCTCGGTGGGTAAAAGTCATGATAACGTAGCACTGAATTTGAATTGGATAAACAACACCAAACCGTGCTACCACAGACGTCACACATTTTAGACGGTGCGGAAGATCGCTAGGATTACAAGGACCAAATAGCATAGGAACGAACTAAATTGAGAGCCCTCTTCCGCAGCTCTTTTCGCCTGGTTCCTCCACAAATTTTTGTAGCAAGCGAAGCCCACAGAAAATGAGTTGCTGAAAGTTCGCTCCGTCGCCGTGCAAATGCAATGTACCAGCGGTGACACACGGTTCAATGACACAGATGTCTACTGGTTTTCTTGCTGGAGTTGCCGGCCGTTTCACTATCTAAACCGACTGCTGCCTCAGACCAAAAACAGGTCGTTCCAACGCTGCCGATAAGGGCCTCGTGAAGTAGATCAACGCTTAGGGGGTATCCGCACCTTCTTCTTAACTGGCCATGTTCGCCCAGCAAGCTAGGTGTCCGACAACCAGCATCTTCACCGGTGATTTTGGCTGGGTTACTTATTTTATGTCAGCTCTCAAGGTCAGCAAAGCCGTTCTGTCACGGAATTTACTGTTCTCGATTTTTGGATCTATATCTTACTAAAGCCGTCCACCATGTTCTTTCCCCAGTAGGGTATAGAGGAGCTGATGCGCTAGCGGACAAACCAAACATATGCGAAGGGTATTTAGTTTGCCTTCTCCACTTCACCTACAAGATTGCCCGTCACTTGGAGATGCCTTCACTTAGGTTAGTGTTATTTCGGCCAATCACCGAAGCGACCAAGAAATCACGATTTTCGAACCCTTGGTAGTAAATTTTGGTGCCACCATTTTGCACGGCCAGCTTCTTTTAGATTTCAGCCTTTTGCCCCCCTGTCGCGGCTATTTTTTGCCGCCGGAGTGCCAAAACAGGCATCAGGAACAAAATCCATGCACCGTCCTTAAGCATGACAAACCTCACTGCCCTCCAGATAACGGCTCCCATGCGGTTGCTACTCGAACTTTGCATCCTTCGATTCCCATCAGCATCACTCATAAAAATCCGGGATACTGGGCGCGATGCAAGCTAATGCTAATTCTAAGGTATGGGTAAATTTAACAAAATATTGCACTAACACAAGCTATTCTCAGCAACGTGTTAGTCCTGGTGGAAGCTCATCAACTGCCAATGGACAAGCGGCTGGTCGTGCTATCTGTGTCCAATCACCTGGTTGAACAACCATCCAACAGCCAAAGGGACTCCTTGAGACTGCATGGTGACCACAAAAATTTTTGGCCGCTTCTCCGTAGCACACGTATCACAACTAGCCTAGGGGCACCAGTGAGTTATCTACTAATAACCTGGAGCTGGCCTATTAGACAATCTCTGTAGTTCCTAAAGGCACTCGAATGCAGGTTTGTTTGCGCTTGAGATTTTGGAAACAATCACGAGCCTTATTAAGGACGTTGCCGCCTGTTTTGGCTTTGTCTGCGCACCAGGACGAACACAAAGTCCAACCGGCAGCCTTGATCTGGCGTTACTGTCCTTGTCAGACAACCACTTCCTTAACAACGCAGCTCTTGATTGGGCCATTTTTGGCGTTTTTTTAAATTCGCACCAAGCAATACGAGCATTTCAAACCTTCACACCTAGCACCGGTGACCAACGCTCTCTTGTTGCTTACGATTGATCATTCTATTTGTATTCATGACCAACAAGCCGTTTCCGTCCCACATATCCGTCCAGAGCCTTGTAGAAGGGCCACTCAAATGACGACGCTCAAAATTAACACTAGTAATGGTGCCCTTTGAATCAATCAATAATGACCCACTGCAACCATCCTCATGCCAGAAACTCTACCAAACACTTTGCTTGTGCCAAAATATTTAGTTCAAGAATGCAACACTTTCTGGAGCTAAAAAAGCAGCCACTCGGTTATTTGTAACGAGATAAATGATTTCATCCTAGGGCACCAGCTTTCGTAAACATGTAGGCCAAAGTTTGCCAACTACCATAACAATTTTTGTCACGACCGTCATTTCTTGATAGGAGGCTACCAATAATTTTATTCCAACAAATGAACCAATATAGGTTTCTCAGAAACTTAAAGCTCATACCTCGCCAACGTTCTGTACTCCTTCCATCAGTCTCCAGCGGAGAATCTGACAGAATTTTGTAAGTCGACTGTTGCAGTCATCAGCAGGTCCAAAAGTGTGCATGAAACATGGCACGAGGTATAAGTTGGAATTTGGCTCCCACCAGCACGTACGTTTTACTTTATGCAAGAAAACAAGACTAGTCTGGCGAATAATCCTAATTTTCTGACCCACTGCAAAATATGTACGCAGTCAATTTGCGGCCGTTCATTAATAAAAGAAAGCTTTAGCGAGAAGCACGTGCTCAATGCTCTGTGAGTGCTGAACAATGTTTTTCATAAGCATAGCCCTGAGCCAATCGCCCTCCTTAAATTGACAATCATCTGGCCTGCGCTAAATTTTAGATATTTTGCCATCTTCCCAAACACAATGCGAGGAATGCTGATTGGTGCAAATACAAAACCCGCACATCCGAATGTAAGCAGTAGCGCCGAGACTATCGATTAGCTGCAGCGCCATAATACGGGAACGAAAGGGATATTTGATGCTCTCTTTATGACCGGTAATGAAACGGGATATACGGATTTTGAATCTATTCCCGCTTTGATAGGTTACAGAGACTAAGGTTCACAGTTAATGAAATACAATGGTGAGGGGCCAGATATTCCCTCGCCCATCCGATTGGACAGACGTTTATTACGTATAATCAAGGTTGAAAAAATAAACTGAATAGGTATCTCCATGGACTAAACATGAACACAGCGATAAAAATTAATGTTTCAGGAGTCTCGTCAACGGTTCAATACACACCCAATTGTTAAACTAGGAGCAGGAATTGAAGATTCGTTAGCAAAATAACGAAACACAGGAACAGTAACGACTGGTTTTCTGCGCTCTCATGTCGCCTTGCATTAGGTGCCGGCTGCTGAGTGACTTGGCCGGTCGATTCAAGTCACATGTCTAAGGCAGACCCAAGGCTCGTACAAAATATTTTGCAGCACAGCACCGATTTTCGTAGACGCTAAGCAACTGCTTTGGCTGTAACCAAGCAGTGCCGTTGATCGATACTGTCAATGTATTTAGTGCATGGTAAATGCCGTGAAATGACTCTTCCAGAATGACCACGTACCCGGTGTCAGTTAGGTGGGACGCAACCGAGCTTTTGGATGAACCACTGAAGTCGATGGTGTTTTAGTGAGATAAGTACTCACGACTGTTCTGCCATTCGTCGGTATGCAGTCCCATCCTGGCGGTCTTTGACGGTTTGAACGCCGATGCCACAAAACGGTACAAGTTGTCCTTGGTAATCTCTTTGGCGAAAAGGCAGCTACGCACCAAGTTGCACATTCTGTTAATGAGGGACAGTCTTAGCATCGGTCAATCCGTCATGCTTCGCTTTGTTGTGTGCGGAAATCTGCGTCATTGCACGGCTTATTTTGCTGATTTGAACGCGAGTCGGAGGAT